GACCACTGAACTGCATCTCCAGCCTGGCCATTCCTTTCTTGCTTCAGTGAAGCTCCATCATGCATATATCAATAACCACATTTTTTGTGGATACTTCAAATATTATTTTTCCCCACTTTCTATTCTTAGTCCCCTTTCTTTTAGTTCTTCCTTGTGAAAGAAAGTTTTAAAGTTACTAAATAAAACAATGAATCTTTTTCTCATGAGGCACTTTAATTTCACCTCTAAGAACTATTATAGTTGGTATTTTGCCTATCTCTGTATTTTCTAGTACTTCCAAAAAAATTATATTTGCACATGGTAGCCTCTAAGGTGATAGTGAAGGCTATAGGGGTGGGGTCAGGAGTATAAGGAGAGACAGAAAGAAACTCAACTATAAAATGGTAAATATTTCACTCTAAAATCTTTTGTATTTTTTTGAGAATTGCTTCTCTCTTTTTCTGGAAGTTGACCTTTTAGGTTAGATTTTGGTTTAGTGAATCAGTGTGGTGTTTTCTAAAACCCTGTACATTACAAAGTCTGGTTAATAACAATTTTACTATCTCAGTAAACAATATGAAGCTATCCACAGAGGCCCCTGTTTTTTTCTGATGTGTTTTCCAATGAGGATTAGATAGTTGAATATGGGATTTGAAAACTTATTTTATATTTGGGGAGTTAAAATTTAACAGCTGGAAAATGTACATAATTTTCCACTTTTCCTTGTGCCTCATATCACTTTCATATTCATGCTGCTTTTGCCTTTTAAAGATTGCTTGGCTACTCTCTACTTTGTTGTGACTCTCATTGTTGTAGTGGAGTTGCTCATCAGCTCTTGCCTGGACTGTGCAGCAACCTAGTGACTATCTCTAATTTCCATTTACCTCCCACTCATTCTTTACTCTGTCATTGAGTATATTTTAAACAATGAAGACTCTGACCTTAACTTTTCTCTGTTTCAGCATTTAGTCACTCTTACTGACCATGGCAGTGTCCTCTGTCAGAATATCATAACTTGGGAAGGTGTTTCTCCCCAAATTCCAGACTCCCTGCCTTCAGGTGTTACTGATAGGAATGTTGCATACTTGAGTGGCATGAGGGGAGAGGTAGCTTTCCTCCTCCTTGACCACTGCTTTTTCTTAGCAGTGCTGGTGTATGTATGCACAGGTGGCTACGCACATCATGACTTTTTTTTTAAAATTTTTTTTGAGAGAATTTTTTAATATTTCTTTTTTAATTTTTGGTGGACACAACATCTTTGTTTGTATGTGGTGCTGAGGATCGA